TAACTGATTTGGCTAGACTAACTGGCCATCCAGCCCCAGGGACCTGCCTGTTTCCCCTCCATCTCCCTAGGGCTGAGATTACAAGTTTATCACTATGCCTGGCTTTTACATGGGTGCTGGGGCTCAAATTCAGGTCTTGACTGTGTGGTAAACAGTACTAATGGAGCCATCTCCCTAGCCTGGTTTGAATGCTTTGTATTGCTCTTTTTCCCATTCACTAGTTCTTTCTTCTGTAGACTCCAATAGCTGTTCTTAAAACCACTGAGAGCTTAGGTATTATATCTTTCCATCCTGTAAGTTTTCTTCTGTTTTTTTTTAGTGTTGTTTTCTTTAAAATAATCCATTCAGGAGCTGGAGAGATGGTTCAGCATTTAAGAGCACTGACTGCTCTTGCAGAGGACCTGGGTTCAAAACCCAGCACCCACATGGCAGCTAACAACTGTCTGTAACTCCAGTTCCAGGGGATCTGAAACCTTCTGATTTCTGCAGGCATTGCACACACATGATGCATTTACATATACGCAGGCAATATGCTCATATACCTAAAATAAAAATAATAAATAAAATATTTTAAAATAATCCATTCATTTATATATTATATCCATGTTTTTCTGTAAATTCACTAGCATATTTATAACAGCTGTTTTATACGCCTGATCTGATAATTCTAATACTATGTCTTTTCATGTTTTTTCTATTGATTTTTTTCTCTATCCTAACCAGAATTTTAGGTTGTCTCGTGTGATTTTGCCACTTCTCTCAGGATCCTTATTTCTCATTGGCAAACAAAACAAGCAAGCAAACAAACAAAAAGCTCCAACATGATCTGGAATGTCAGTGATGCTTCTATTCTGTTCCAGAACTTTCCTAGGATGTAGAAGAGAGTAGAATTCCTTCAGAGTGGGCCAGGGGCTTGGAGGTCTTTGAATGACTGAAGATAACAGAATAATCTTGGCTTTTAAATGCAGGAAATTCTCTGGGTTAGGTGGGAGAACTCCTTGCCTTTTTCTAACTTTGTGGTGGTTCCATCCAGTCCCACAGCTTCAATTACCTTCTATGCAATGACAGATCCCAAATATGTTTCTATTGTACAAGCCTTTCTTGAGTTCCAGTCCAATCTGTCCAGCGGCATACATTTCCATATGACATTTCGAAGTGATTTCCAACTAAGCATGTTAAAAGCAACAAGCATTATTGTTTCCTCTTCTACTACAGAATTGCACAATAAAAATGTATAAAATAGTCTATGTGCTATTTCATATATAATTTTTTATTTTTGGAAAATATTTTGTTTATTATTTTTATTTTATGTGTATGAGTGTATTGCCTGCATGTATGTGAGTGCACTCGTGTTGTGCAATGTTGTGGAAGTCAGAAGAGTGTGTTGGATTCCCTTGGAACTGGAGTTAAGGATGGTTCTTAGCCACCATATGGGTGCTGGGAATTGAACCCGGGTCTTCTGCAAGAGCAGTCAGTGCTCTTAACCACTGAGCCATCTCTCCAGCCCCTATAAATAATTTTAAATATATTAAAATATTTAAGTACGAACTTTAGATTCCTAAGGTACCATTGTTTTTAAAGTGCACACTTAAAAATCTCTTCTTAGGCTTGTATCACTTTGCATTACAATGTTTTCAATATTTCAACTGCGAATATCTATTATTTATGTAACTTGAAGTTTAAAAAGCATATTAAATAAATAATTGCCCAGAAGAAAATAAGACTCAGCAGGAACAGAAATGTGTTAAAGGATAATGTGTAGTAATTAATGCAATATCTCTTCATTAGCACACACAAAATCTAAAACAGACAAGCAAGCAAACAAACGAAGCCGAAGGCGACTCTGCCAATCTCAATGAATTCTTGTGACGGTCTTATGAACAAATCTATTGGAAAGCTCTTGGCCAACCCTATGAAAGCTAAGTATGAGCACCAGTGCCATCTCTGTCAACACAACTTGAAAGGACAGGCTCTTGTGTTGGGGTATATGCCAGGAATCCAGAGGGAGTGAGTCAAAGTCCTAAACCTGGGATGTGACACTGTCCCCCAGATAATACACAGGTGCCAGCATGACATCTGCAGGGAAGGAGGCCATGTGTCTTCTCTCTTCATGAATTAACTGAAATAGATTATTATTGTTATTGTTGTTATTATTTCCTCTCTAACTTTTAAGTGACTTTTAAAAAATTTCTTGTGTTTAATTGTGTCCATGCCATGGTATTTGTATGGAGGTCAGAGGATAACTTGGGGTTGGTTCTCTCCTTCCATAATGTGGATCCTGAGGACGAAACTTAGGTAGCAAGTGCCTTTACCTGCTGAGCCATCTTGCTGGCCCTATTATTTTATTTCTTTAATCAATAATTGTTCTACTAAATGACAACCAGAAAGGTGGGTGGTAATTTGAGGCTAAAGTCAGGAGCATAAAGATTAAGCTATTATAATAGGGGTATTATCCAGGAGTGTCTTCTAATATCCTTCACTTCTGTTTTGAATTTTTAATGAATATGACAAAGATCTATAGTGTTTGTCTCAAAACTGAGCCCAGGAATTAGAAGCCACATGCCTGGGAAATCTCTAACTGATACTTCAATAGAAAATCCTACACACATCCCTGTGGAAGACCAGACACAAGGGACGAGATTCAGTCTGTACCCATGTCTCCAGAACTGTGCCTATGGTTGATTTTTAATTTTATTTTCCCACAGGGCAGTAAAGTACTTGAAAGTGCAAAAGCAGGACAAAATCTGAAGTCAAGGAGATCTGAATTCAGGTCCAGCTCCAAAATCATATGGTTTGTCCCTTTCGAAACTCAGCTTGAAATGTACCGGTGTTGAGAGTAAGAAATCACTAGGTCAGTAGGGGGATCAGCACCTCTGTCTAGGAATGGTTTTATTCTCAGAGGAATAGTTGTTACAGAGTAAATCTGCCTTTCATTCTTTGACCTTCAGAATGTACTTGCTTGCCCTTCCAATTCCCACCATGCCACGATGCAGCGTGAGGCCCTCATCAGATGCAGCTACCCAATCTTGGACTTCATTTTTATTATTTTTTTAAACTTGTATGTATGTATGTATGTATGTATGTATGTATGTATTTATTTTTTAATGTGTATGAGTGTTTTGCCTGCATGCATGTAAATGCTTCCATGTGGTACAGTGCCCACAGAGGCCAGAAGGCATTGGATCCCCTGAAACTGGAGTTATGGATGGTTGCTAGTCACTATGGGGTTGCTGGGAGCTGAACCCGGATCTTCTGCAAGGGCAACCAGTGCTCTTAGCTACTGAACCATCTCTCCAGTGCTGATGTCTTGATTTTTTGAGCCCCAGAATTATGAGATAAACTTCTTTCTTTTATAAATGATCCAGTTGTAGAAAATAGACCAAGAGTTTGGGACAGCCTTCCATAATTCTTGAATTTCCTTCTCTGGAAAAACAGAAATCATAGTACCTGCCCTTGCATGGTTGCTATAATGGTGAAATAAGAGACTCTCCTATCTACTAGATTGTTGATAGTCTATAAAATGCTCATTTTCATTCCCAACCCTTTTCCTTTTGGCCTCCAGAGAAGGCATGAGAAAGATTGGTGGAAGCAACCAGTTTCAGCCAGTTAAAGCCACAAAGCCAGGAGTGAAACAAGGTTTGTGGAAGTGAGTGTTGTACATGCTTGTATTTTGTCACTCATTTTTCTCCACTAATGCTACAGTATGGTATAGGAAGAAAAAAAGAAATTAAATTTCCTCTGGAAGCTGATCACTTTTAGCTGAATTTAACAGTTAAAAAAAAATTCCTTGGCTGGGTGTGGTGACACATGCCTTTAATTCCAGTGTTTGGGAGGCAGAGGCAAGCGGATCTCTGTGGGATTGAATCCAGTCTGGTCTACATGGTCCCAGACCAACTGGGACTACAAGGAGACCCTTGTCTGAAAATACTACTACTACTACTATTGCTGCTGCTGCTACTACTACTACTACTACTAAATTCCTCCAAGCAAGGAGCAGCATGTTGTCCCTACCGTTTGATAGCATACCTGGAGCTCTGAGGGAACAGGCCATCCATACCTGCAGGGGGCCGAGCTTGGGAAACACTCATAGGGAGCATCATCACGTGAACACTAATGAGATGAGCACAGCCCAGGCTTTTCTCAGTTCTGTGGTGGCCACTGCCTACATTCTGCCTAAAGGAAAAAAAAAAAAAAAAAAAAAAGACTATACAAAGAAGGTGAATTTAGAATATAAAGTAGAAAGAAAAGATGATTATTATAGACTCATTTTTCCCCAGTGGCTTTCCTGGAAATTCAAGAGCAACATACTGCCCTTCTGAAAAGCATTTCAGGTCTCCACATATCTTGTTGATATCTAGATGCAAAGTTAAGTGGTGGTGTGCCTTTAGGATGACTCTGGGCAGGTGGACAGCCTTATCGAGTAGGTTGCTGATTTCTATGGTGCATATACTTCCACCAGGACAGATTACAAGCTACCATCATGATGTCAGTGAACATGGAGTTGACAGAGCCACAAACAAGCTGCAGTCTTGAGCCAGCATGAACCAGCCGGGGAACACCGCAGAGTCCAAGGTTCATGCTTTGAGAGGATAGCTATTGGCACAGTCAACTCTCGTTGAAAATAGACATCATTAACTTCTAGAATTCTCTGCCTCTGGCTCCATGGCCTGAATTTGGGTCATTGTTTCTTGAGCGTCTTGAATCAACTCGGAAAGTCTCACCCCTGTGGACTCCAGCCCCTTTGACTTAATGAAGATTGATGTCCTCATTAGATTTTGAGAAAGAATGCTCAGACATTTTATTACCTGGTGGCTGGTGCCTAGTACTCTCTGTTCCCCTGCCCATCTCCCCCACCTCCTGTGACACATTCCTGAAAATGCTCCAGGAAAACACTGCTATAGCCTTGGCCGATCAGCATTTCTGATTGTGCAATGTCCTTCCTGAGAAAGCCCTGTCTCCACAGGCAGGCATTCTGAAACAGGAGTGGGAAATGGGGGACAGGTCGGTCCCAGGGAGGGCGGCATGGGAGGCCACGGGCAGTGGATGGGACGGAATGAACCTATGAGAAAAATGGCATTCGTGGGCATCTCACTGAGTTTATGGATTTAGAAAAACTATGGAAAAAAAGAAGAGGACAAAAATAGGTACTTTTCAGATTTTCCACTTTCATTTTGCTTGTTGTTTTGCCCCTTATGAAGCAGTTTCACAAACATGATCTCTCTTTTTCCTCATAGTGGACTGATGAGACAGTATTATAATGTGGTTGCTATGCTAAGCATAACACATCATATACCGCATTGACATAATACGTGCTACAATACTGGCAATAGCATAGTAAGTATTAGCATTTCTCCTTCACAGATGAAGACCCCAAGGCCACAGAAGGTAAATGACTTGCTCAGGGTCACATAGATGTTAACAACAGGAAGAACTTGAACTCCCATTTGTCTGATGTCAGGCTAGGGCTCTCTCCATAGGAGGCTGTGTGTAAATGGTGATTATAGAAGGTTTCTATCAGCTCTGATCACTTCAGCCCACATGCTAGAGGGAATCAAGAATGTCAGAACTGCAAAACAAGTCTGATGTTACACTACAGCCTGAGAAGGTCAAAAGGGTTCATGGATGATAGAGATTCTCAGGGGTATGGTTGATAATGCCCTGCTTCCCTGCCAGGACCAACAGAAAAGGAGATAAGATATGAAATGAAATGCCTTTGGCTTCCAAATTTCAGATGAAATATTTTTAAAGTACGATGCACATTGCCCCATATTCTTAAACACAGAACACTAGAAATAGCTTATTAACCTTTTCTTGGTGACTTTGACCATCCTTGATACATCTCAGTCTTTTTTTTTTTTTTTATCTTTTTGAGACAGGGTCTCCCTGTAGCCCCAGCTGGCCTGGAACTCACTATGTAGACCAGGCTGGCCTCGAACTCACAGAGATCTGCCTGCCTCTACCTTCTGAGTGCTGGTATTAAAAGAGTGCACCACCACAACTGGCCACATCTCAGTCTTTTTAAATCTGTTACATTCACAATCTTCTTGGGGGGGTTGCTCAACTTCAAATTCTACACTGCTGTACCTTTTTGATTCTTCTCCCATTGGTCTTATCTTTGAGGCCACTGCCCTCCTCTAGCTTAGGCTCCTAACCTGTTATGGAGTGAGGCACCAATCCAGATATCACACTGGTTTGATTTGTTGATCATACAGGGGTAGGTATATTAAAATAAAGGCCCTGATAACCCTTCCAGAGTGAACCCTTTCCATTATCTTTATTTTCAGGCATGCACCAGAGCTGTAGCCACGCTGCCGACAGGCCTTTACCAGGCTGCCTCCCTCCTCATCCAGCTGCTGTGTTGGTGACCAATGGTGTCAGCTGCTCCCTTCCCTGAATACCTGCCTACAGGAATGACGTGGAAGTGGAAATAGCTCCCACCTGTGCACATGGCCTTCAGCTAGCTACGGATTCAAAAGTGTGAACGCACAGCTCTCTTGTGTCAACTTGGGGCCACCGAAGCAGGGCGTCTGGCTGAGCTTCTTTCTGGTGGAACCAGGCTGAGGCTGAGCAGCTGCTGAGCATATTCTGGGCTTTGCTTCTCCCCTGCTCTGTGTGATCATGAAAGAATGTAGAGTGAGAAAAAAAAATTATTTCGCAAAAAAATGTATCAGAAAGACTGAAGAGATGGCTCAGCAGTTAAGAGCACTGGCTGCTCTTGCAGAGGACCCAGGTTTGGTTCCCAGTAATCACATAGCAACTAATAACCGTCCATAAATCCAGCTCCAAGGAATCTGACAATCTCTTCTGATCTCCATAGGCGCTGCATGGCATGGGTGCACTTACATACATGTAGACAATATACTCACATGCATAAAAAATAAAAATAATAAAAAATATTATATATATATATATCAGAAATGCATTCATTTGTCAAACTTTGAGTTAAAGGCTACGAGTATTAGGGCCAGAGGTTACAAAACCCATCTGCCCTCACCACACTGAGAAGCTCACTGTCTGATGAAGAAACTAAATACTGAGGATGATTGCCCTACATCAGGGTAAATGCTCTTATCAAAGCCAGAGCTCATTCATTCAATACTTATGAAATATTTCTTGAGTGCTTAAACTTTTGAGGTATCAAGAGCCTGAAGAAAAGAACTCCATAGTGTAAAAGCTGCAGGAAGCACCATAGCTGTTGCTCTGGAGATGATTCTGATGAAGTTGAAGTTTAGGGGAGATGTTCAGGTTGGAAGCCAATGTCTCAAAAGGGTGTGCCAACTAGGTGGAATTAGGGAGAAGTTTATTATGGCAGAATAGAAGAAGGCAGAGAAGAAGGCAGGGATGGACATGAGAAGCTTTATCTAGCAGGCTTTTGTTTTGGAGGTAACTTGGAGCCAAAAGAGCTGTGTAAGCCCAGTGAATGTGGTCACGGTCATTTCAGCAGGAGCACGACTGTGAGCCACAGAGCAGAGGGAAGAGTGTGGGAGAGCTCACAGAGTCCTCAGTCACAGCCTGATGGGCAGATGCCCACAGCTGGCTTTCACGCAGTGCACTGACTATACAGCAGCATACGGCAGCTGGAACAACATGGAACAGCATCACGGGTTACTTATGGTGACTGTGACCTAATGCATGTGCCTTCCAGAGGGAAAATGAATTCTTTCTCACTCTTGAACATTTGATTTGTAAAGGGAGCTAAAATTCTCCTTGTTGAACACTCCTTGGGTTACAGGTGGATAGCTTCATAGGTCAGGAAGCACCCAAGAGACTCTCTCCCTGGGCCTTAGCTGCTGTCGCCATTACCTGAGAGGCCACCATTGTAGATATATCCCTTATGATTCTCCAGGCTGTTGTCTGGCCTGGGAGAGGATGCCTTAAGATCAAGTGGGAGAAGAGAACAGGGGTAGAGGGGGAGGGCTGGGGAGAGAGGCTGTGAGCTACCCATGGAACAATGTGGGAGTGGAAATGGTGGGGATGGGCAAGCATGCTGATGTCAAGGACGAGAAAGAAATAAGAGCTTGAGGGGGAAATTAATCTACCTGTTCTGTCATATAATATTGCAGTGAGAAGGTGCTGTCCAAATTCACTCAAGCAATACTTAGTACCAAATATTTTGATTGTGTTATTATTATGAAGAACATAGATTATCCCCTTGCGTAGTTTAATTCCTGAACTAGAGATACAACTCAGTGGTAGAGCTCTTGCCTAGTATGTGTAAAGCTCTACATTAATCCCAGTACCTCAGCAAGCAAGCAAAGAAAGAAAAGGAAGGAAGGAAGGAAGGGAGGGAGGGGGGGGGGAGGGGAAGGAAGGAAGGAAAGAGAAAGGAAGGAAAAGAGGGAGGGAGGGAGGAAGAAAAGAGAAAAGAGAGGAAGAAAGAAAGGAAAAGAGGAAGGAAGGGAGGGAGGGAGGACAGAGAGAGAGAAGAAAGAGAAAAAGAAAACAGACACTAATTTCTGTCTTTGGGAGAAATATTCATGTTTTACACAATAATCATAAGCACTATTTGAACAGCTACTACACGCCTAGCACCTTGCTAAGAACTTTGCCTATATTTAACTTAACTCATTCAATTCTTCCCCCAAACTGTGGTACAGATATTACTATTAGCCGGTTACTGTGGAAGAGGAGAGCGCTGTACAGAGAGAGTTACAGAGCTTGCTCAAAGCCATATCTCTGAGGAACGTAGCACCGAAGCACTTAAACGGCAGTGTACTCGGCGTTCCCTCCTGGCTGTTCATGCCTTCCTCCACCATTTCCTATGCTTTTTACCCACGTCAAGCTTCTTTCATCTTAACTGGCGTTGCTGAAACCCCTCCAGGTGCACATTGCCTTTGCCCTCTGTGGAGCTTTCTGTCCTGATTTCCTACACTGATGTAGAAAAGTCAACTTTCAATAAAGGATAAAATTATCATGAATAGATTTGTATCATTTACTAAAAGATTTTCAGTGAGTTTAGTTTTCTTTTTCTCCAAAAAGCTTTTATGTGATTTCAGGATAGGGATCAAGCATTAAGTCCTATCCCCTCAGCATGCAACACAGACCTGGACTGAAGTCAGGAAGCCCCTGACTCTTACTTCATTCTTGACATCAGTGAGTGAGCCCCAATCCAGTGGCTGCATTGGAGGGAAGAAGTGCATGTGTGGATCTGATAAGGTCTGAGTGATAGCTGGAGAAAAAGATGTCTGATTAGTGAGGATCAGCAATGTTTACCATTTCAAACCACAGAAGCAGGTCAAGATAACGGTCAGAGCCTGTGGACAGAAGTTCATAGGATCACTGCTTGACAGGTCAGGGTAAAGGTCTCTTTCTTTCAAAATATGTAAAGGGTCAGGAAACGTGTGTACCAGGTGTTTTGTGTTCATGGCTGCCTGGGAGAGATAATTCTGTCTGCTGGATCAGAACACTGTGCTCCACACATCAGGTTGTTTTTCCAACAGCTATTTTTTGCCTATAAAAATGAACATTATTGGCTCCCAACCTCTCGCTGCTAATCCCTTGGGCCACAAACAGTAACAAAAGGTATCTTATATTTATACAAAGCGGTCCTCAGAAAAGCTCAAGGACCTGAAAGAAGCTTGTTTTTATATAGAAGGAGTTCTTATATAATCCCCAAGGGGAAAATGAGCAGAAGGTGACAACTGAGTTCAGAATGTTGCCATTGCCAGCTAACAAAAGGGAAAAGCAAGGCCCTAGCACATGGCACACTGACGGTCACAGCCAGGACAAGTTCTTCCCTATTTCCTGGCCAGAGTTCTGCTCACTGGGAAATACTGCCTGGTCAGAAGTCCTGGAGGATTTGAAAAATCCAGAGGAGACCACTGGGAAGGAAAGGCTGGGAGAAAAAGCCCGGCTTTCAAGAGAAGGCTGCAGTCTCAGGAAGATTGCTGTTTTCACTGATCAGGGTCCTGAAACCTGAGAGTGAGAACCATCCTTGTTCTCTGTGGAACTGACCTGGGGATGGGGGGCGGATTTTAATCACCCTCATTCACAGTGACAGCTGGATCACAGAAGATTTCAGAAGCCCGGATGGTTTAGAGAGAAAAGCCATCCAGGCAAAGGGCATTCTGTAAATATTTATTGCACTTGGATACAACCGTGAGTAAGGCAGAAGCATAGCATTCAGCAAGGGCATCGTTGAGCAGGGGGATAAACACAGGGATCTAGGAGGGCCAGATGAGGACGATAACAGAGCAGTTACTGTCCACTCCAGGACAGCTATTTTGGGGGAGGTGGAGGATTAATGAGAATCAATTTTAGAGCAATCTTCTGCACTACATTGAACTCATCAGTTGGAGACCCTGGAGAAAAAACTCCACTCCTTAAAAAATCTGATCAAATTGATCTGATGTAGCCTGTTCATAGCTCCTTGCAGAAGATACCCCATGTAGCTTTACTGAGCAAACAAAGTAGACAGCCACAGAGAGGGCAGCTTTGGAGTGAGTCAGCCGTGCTCTAGTATCCTGTAACCTTGAACAAGACCCATGATGGGGTAGGTGACTCTCTCATGAGGCAATCGTATGTTTTTTACAAACTGTCCCTGGCTGCAAATACTTGATTTAAGATGGATGAAATGTGGGTTCCACCCCAGCTCTGCTGCCAGGACCTAGCACGAGCTCATTACACCACACAGGACATCAGGCAGACATGGGATTATTATTTGTGAGACACTGTGCTAGGAACTCAACACATCTCTGAGTCTCAATTTGCCAATCTGTGGATACTTGTAGCTCTCTGTGTGTTACAGAGTTTATTCAATAGGCTATATTCAGAATTATCTTTAGAAAAATATATAAAATAGAGAAGTAGAGTGCACTATATAGAGCAGGAGCGAGTACTACAAAGTAAAGTTTTGTTGCAGTCATATATGTACACAGATATTGACACAGTGTGAAATAATCCCACATTGTAGATTCAAGTTCAAAAGTGTGAGAGTGGCAGAGTGCTCAGCTCTAAAAGGGACCCCTATATTGCATCCTCTCCTCCCAAGGCTCAGTGATCATGGAGGAAGAAGGGCGGAAAGATTGTAGGAACCGGAGGCGGTAGACGGATACCAGAAAATTGTGTTGTCTGGACACCACAGGGTAGCTGTACACATGAACCCACAGAGCATATGACATGCCCAAGACCTATGCAAACCCAAGTCAGACAGGAGCCCAACATGGATAGAAGAGGTGGGCAGGAAGCCCCGGCCCTAGCTGAGAATCTATTGGCATTTGATAGATAAGAGAGGGAGAGTCAGTTTTCTTTACTAGTGTGATGCCTGGTAGGCTGACCAGACTCCAAGAGATCGACCCACACCTGAGAGCACTTGAGAAACACAGATTAGACTCAACAGTAGTAAGGTGGGGGTGAAGAGGGGAGGAGGGTCCGAATATGATAAAAATACGTTTTATGAAAGTATGAGAGTGCTGGTTTTGCATACACTAAAGTTGGAAAGACATGGGGAAGACTACAAAACCCCTGTGCAAAAATGGCATACAACTTCATGAAGTACTTCGTGTATTTATATATATTGTCAGAGTTGGCTCAGTTGTTAATTTGATACACCTGGGAAGAGGGGGACATTTTCTTGATTGCTAACTGATGTAGAAGAGCCCAGCCCATTATGGGCAGTGCCAAGCCTGGGCTGGTGGTCCTCGATTGTATTAGAAAACCGGCTGAGCACAGGCCAGAGGGAGCAAGCCAGTCAGCAGCATTCCTCCCTGGTCTGAGCTTCAGCTCTTGCCTTGAGTTCCTTCCCTGACTTCCTTTGATGATGGATTGTAACCTGTAAGATCAAATAAGCTTCTTTTCCCCCAAGTTGGCTATGGTGTTTATCCCAGCAA